CAAACAAACAAACAAACAAGTCCTCTTGTTTACTTCAACACAAAAGAAACGTGTATTTTACCAAAAACAACCTTTTGTTTTAAAGCTAATTTGTAAGATTGAAATAACCAAACTGTTCAGTTTTGGTGAACAATGGAAATGTTCACAATGACATTTTAGCAAAGTTCCAGAAACTTTCTGTTTGATACCCGACTTATTTTGCTCGAGCAAGTAAATTGTTCATCCATTCATCATTAACTGAATCCTATTCGACGATACCAGTACATCAATTATTACAAAAAGCACCAGATCTATATAAGGAAAAAAGACAAATTCACTTTTTTTTCAAATTATAATAAATTATTAAAAACAACGTTTTGTATTTACACAATAAAAACTTTATTGAAGCCGTAGATCACGTCGGAACATGTACGTGTATAGTGTTTGTTTTTGTTAGTTTTGTTTTTTGAATTTCGCGCAAAGCCACACGAGGGCTATCTGCGCTAGCCGTCCCTAATTTAGCAGTGTAAGACTAGAGGGAAGGCAGCTAGTCATCACCACCCACAGCCAAATCTTGGGCTACTCTTTTACCAACGAATAGTGGGATTGACCGTCACATTATAACGCCCCCACGGCTGAGAGGGCGAGCATGTTTGGTGGGACAGGGATTCAAACCCGCGTAAAGTGATATTTTTATTTTAAAGTGGCTTCAATAAAATTTTTATTGTGTAAATACAAAACGTTGTTTTTAATTATTTATTATTATTTAAAATTTTAAACACAAGTGCCGGTAGTGCATAATGACAAATTCACTGTACCGTTTTATCTTCCCCGCAACTTATTAACGTTTTTAGAAGTTATAAATTATACACTTTGCTGCGGTGTCCCCCCCCCCCATGAAGTTTTCAACTTTCTTAGAACTTGAGGTTATTCATTGGGTGCTGCTGTCTTTCCCAGAAGTTGTTACCTTTTTTTTTAAAGTTTAAGATTCGACATTCTACTTCTATGAATTATTTCTGAAGTTATTAGTTTTCTTTGAAGTTTACCACCTCAATCGGTTGACATAAAGTTCTTTATAAATTGAGGCTGTTCATTGTGTGCTGCTCTGTGTTTCCCCGAAGATTTTTTTTTAATTTGGGTTATGTATTATGCTTGTTGTCTTCCCCTGAATTTATTAACCTTTTTTTTTTAAGTTTGGGCTGTTAGTTTTGTGATGCTGTATTTTTCCCGGAAATTACTACCTTTGTTTGAAATTTACGTTATTTAATATTGTCTTCTTTGTATTTTTCTGAAGTTATTTCGTCTCTTTGAAGTTTGGGTTATTTGATGTGTAACCCCATGTCTTCTCCCGGAATTGTTACCTTTCTTTGGAGTATAAGCTATTTACAGTATACTGCTGTGTTTCATCCTAAAATTATGATCTTTCTTCGATGTCATTTGAACCATACATTTTAATAACAAATTCAATACAAGTTACTGTCGTTAACACATTCAGTTTAAGCTATACATTATAATAGCAAAATTAACACTCACTGGTGTCCTAATCATTTCTTTACAAAAAGTGTAAACTGTAATGTAAACTAAAAACACTAATTCATATATAACCTGCTTTCGAAGATATGAAATTATATCAGCGAATGTAACATACGCTGTTACCTTACCTCTCATTGAACAACGAAAACTCTAGTAATGAATTCAGCACACACACCTCTATCATAACTTCGCTCATATTTCAACCAATACATTGAGAACACTAAAAAATAAAACCAAAATTTAATCTTTACCCACCCCGTGATGAATTCTATTGAAAGGAATGCGTTGCCACAAATTCGATTACAAAAAAAGCATTTCACAAACTGTATAATCTTCAACTAAGTTACCTCTAATAGTGAGGTGGAAAGATGGTGCTACGTTGTAAAGCGTTTAACGACAAATCTAGCAGAACATGAGGAGAGAGTGGTGAACTTTTACAATGAGGCTGTTAAAAACCAGTGCTGGCCAGAATATGAATGTGATTACACATTCCTATCATAGCTTATAATAGTGTTCATCTATATACTAATGTTCATCTATATATATATATGTGTGTGTGTGTGTATAACTCCCATGGTACCTTTACATAAATAGATAAGTAAAATTTGGTCTACGAAATAATATTACACAGGAATAAAATTTGGCTATTTTAGAAGATGTTTCTATAACATTGTCTTTAAGTAGCCTTTGCAAATCTTATTTTTTTGCTAACTTGTTTAACTATATTTATTCCTCCCCAATGGAACTTATGTCTCCCCAGAAAAAAAAAGTAATTACTTTAAAGTCTGTAGTTTTATTTGTCCATCCTGTCATCACACGTTTGTATATTTATATCTAATCAGTATCTTATCATAAGTACGGTAGTAGTTATAGTAGGAATGGGCCAGATTTGTAATACAATTCAAAATCTCACACACACTGCAGACATCGTGTAAAAAGCTTTATAAGCACTTTACACACACACACTGTTAAGTAGTAAATAAACCAACTGCAGAGTAACAAGCCACCAAAGCACTTAAGAAATTCTGTAAATTAAAAACAAAGAAATAACAAAACCACAAGTTTGTCAATCTAACTGTCTGATTGACTAACGTTGTTGAAAAGGAATAACTCTCTCCTACCTTCACCTTATGTAAATCTAAATGCACATAATTGAATTACGCTACCTTGGCTAAAAACGTTTTTCTTAGTTTTACGTATAACTTTGGTAATAGCAATAACCATTTTGCAACATTACTAACGAGCTAACAATACACTAGTAGCCATGTTCTATGAATACGATCACGCTCTACGAGTTGCCATGTATCAACCGGCCCTCATATCACGTGCGGATGCACGACTGCTTATGCTCATGTGCTACGTAATCAGTCTCCAGCTGTATCAGCTACATAAAAAACAACAACAACGTGGACTACATAGATTCTCTAGATCTAGGTTCTAAATATTAACTAACTTTTGAAAGCGAAGTTTTCAGTTTTATACATCTGACTCGAGGGTTCTGTGTTGGACGAAGCAATTCTATCATAGCAGTCGGTGCCTAAGGTGTGACTTTCCTTCGTAAGGACAAATGCTGCCACTGCTGAAGTCTGACACGGATTTTCTTGAGTACTCTTGGCTGAAAACAAGAACAATAAGTTGTATAATTTACCTTTGCATTATTTTCAAAATAAATGTGGCCTATTGGCATGTAAGGTTGTACTTGAAATGGTGCAATTTTTAAAAGATTCCTTTCAAGGAAACAAAACGAGAGAGAAGAAGAAAACATTATGTTGATAACCTTTAAGTCTTTCTTCCAGCGAAGAGAGCATTACTGCAAAAATGGAGATAAGGTTACAAACAGTAATGCTAAGTATACGAAACTAGCCCTAGCCATTAATCCAGCCAAAGAAACGACTGCCACCCTGGCTACATGGAAGAAAAACTACAGCAAATATATCAACATAAGCCAGGAAATGTCGAGAGATAGCTCTAAGAAAAGCTACGAGAAGAATAGGCTTAGAGCCTAGTCATTCTCGAGACTTAGTACCAAAAAAAGGTGAGACAAGTGTAAAAAATATTTAAATATAAAAATTAGGAAGTAGGAATGGAAACACCAAAAAGTAAGGAAACATGGTAGGAATGGGCGTGATAACATTACAACAATTGGTGTTTTTGACAAGGTGCAACCTCAAAGTAGGTGTATCCATCGTTCCGCCCATTCCTACTTCCTGTTTTACTTTGAACTTTGATCCAATTATAGACTTGAATTAAGGTTTATCAGTAATTAATCCTTTGTAAATACTCAACAAATGTAAAATTTCAAAAATCAGCGGTTTTGATACAACGTTTATGACCCATCCCTTTCCAGTCAGATAGCTATAATGTATTCCATAAGCAAAATATGACTATTGGAGCTTCCTGTCTCACTTCCGACATCAAACACCCCCTTATGATGTCATGCATTTCGTTAGGGTCACGTAATTTAATTACATACATGTATCTGTATTTGGTTTACAACAGAAAAATGTTGCTATATACAGCTTTCATTTAGTTTGAACAATTACCAAGCTAGAAAATCTACGCGAAGTAGAAATGGGCGAAACGATGGCCACCCACACTTTGCGGTTGCACTGAGTCAAAAACCACCAAGTGTTGTAATGTTATCCCGCCCATTCTTACATTGTCTCCTTAGTTTTAGTGCTCCCAATACTACTTCCTAATTTTTCTTATTTAAAACGTTTTTACACTTGTTTTTAATTAATATTAAAGCTGTCATTTTCGGGATTCTGCTAATGCTTTCGCTGTGCAACAAGTTGTTTAACAAATAAGTTATATTGAGAATCAAATTTACTCGCTATTTCCTAAAACTTGGATGAACACATCCAAGTACAGAACAGTAACTTACTTGTAGTTTTCTTCATCCAAGGTGTACGGTTCTTTCTGTCTTCTCAGTGTAATGATCGTGCGCAGATTTCACAAAGAACATCTTCATTTCGTCAGTGTTTAGGACCACAGTTTTAATCCTTAAACAAAATCTGTAGAAAACAAAAGTCTAATTTATCGGCAACGACACCAATTGGTTCAGTTTCTGTACGTTTATGTTTTACCACAGTTTTTCTGCTAACGTTGGTCCAGAAGAAGCCTTAAAAAAAGATTGCTTGGACTTTAATATTTGTTATTGTGTAGAAGATAGACATGATTTTAATATAAAAAATAAAGGCAGTGCTACATGAAATTTATGTGAACGAATATAAGATAAGACAAAAGAATCTACCTACGTAAGCAAAAAATTAAACTTTAAGAAAATGAGCGGTGTGGGTGAATTTTTCAGTCTGATTTTAAGTCTGTTTTGTTTAACAAATTATTTTTATTTAACAAACAGTCTAACTCTTTCAATGCCACGTTTATAAATAAACAACTCTCCCAGTTCCAGGGTTAGTTTTAGATACACAATATAAAACAAAAAATACATATGTTTTAATATTTCATTACTTATCTGAAATTTGAAACCGGTAAACTAGGAACTTTGAAGGGAAATACTATTTCTTCATGGTGGTACAAAATTCCAGTCTCATTTGGTAGTGATCTAAAGAGAGACAGGGCAGTGTATGTATGTTAATGTATTTTTGACAAATTTCAAACTTTTAAAAACTGCAACATCTTTTCTCAGGTTTGATACGAGGAGATGAGATTATGGTTATAAATGGGGCCATCGTTAGCGACTTGGACATGATGTACATTGAGAGCGTTTTGCAAGAAGAAACGTCCCTTTGTATGATGATGAGATCTTCCAGAACGGAACCACCTGATCTCGCTAGCATCATGCGCACTACAGATGACTACATCGAGTCTCTTGTGTGTCCTCCGCCTCCAAGCGACAGTACATTGAGTGAAGAAATGATTGGAAAACTAATCGTTCCCTCACCTCTTTGGGGTAATTGATGTTTTTTTAAGTAATACTTGGAAGAAACGAAACATAGACCAGTTTATTTCTTGTGTTTCATAATATATTTTTAATTGAAGTGCAGCGAACCTTGCGACACCAGCGTCATATTATTTTCTTGTTAAATGCAAAGCTGTTCAGTAGATTACCTGCTCTGTGCCCACCTCAGGAATCGAATCCTGAACTTGAACACTATAAGCTTTTAAGCTTATCACTGAGCCACCGGGGCGCAATATTTTTTGACAGAGATTGCTGTTAAGCGCAAAACTGCACAGTAGGCTATTTGCACTGTGCCCACCGCCGGGATCGAACCCCGGGTTTAATGTCATAAACCCTTAAGTCTACCGTTGAGTCACCGGTAGGCTACTGACAGAAAATGAGCAAACAAAACTTTCGTTTGACTCCAGAACCAAAATCGTTCATTTTTAGATGAGTACCTACCGCTCGTTGTTAAAAGATTTATTATTCAAACGATTAATTATCACAAGTTATTAACGGAAAAAAGACTAAATCTCTTCCATATATGACGCCAATGGAAACATCAAAGCAGCAAATAAAACTGAATTTAATAGAATATTAATAAAAATGCTCTGTTAAAAATTATTAAACATTTTATTTCTCTCTCATTCATTATTGACAGAGTTCGTTTATTGTAGCTTTTTTAAGCTTTTATTAAAAAGAGCGGTTTCTTTTGGAATTCTTATTATATTTATCATTTTGTTTTATAAATGCTGAAGTGGTGTACACTATATGATCAAAACGCAGAGCATAGGGAAGTTCATCTAAAATGTTTGTAAGCGCATATCTTAAGGGACGGTTGACGGGCGCTGAAGTGGTGTACACTATATGATCAAAACGTAGAGCATAGGGAAGTTCATTTAAAATGTTTGTAAGCGCATATCTTAACGGACGGTTGACATCCCTAATCTTTACACACTACCTCATTTCAAGCTATTCAATTAGTTTGTTCCTGTTTTTTGAAATTTACACGATTTTAGTAGGAGCTAAGTAACTATAGGAATAACCCTTGGGTAACTTATCACGATTACCAGCCAAAATTTTAGAGTGTAGGAATGATCATTCAGTATATGCTGATCATGGGTATTAGCCAAAATAAAATCTTTCTACTTTCCAAAACTTATAGAAATGGTTTTTGGATGCTAATCAGAGGTATTAACCAAAATAAAATCTTTCTGCTTACCAAAACTTATAGAAATGGTTTTTGGGTGCTAATCAGAGGTATTAACCAAAATAAAATATTTTTACTTACAAAAACATATAGAAATGGTCCTTTGGTGCTAATCAGAGGTACTAACCAAAATAAAATATTTTTATTTACCAAAACTTATAGAAATGGTCCTTGGGTGCTAATCAGAGGTATTAACCAAAATAAAATCTTTCTGCTTACCAAAACTTATAGAAGTGGTTTTTGGGTGCTAATCAGAGGTATTAACCAAAATAAAATATTTCTGCTCACCAGAATGTATAGGAATGGTTCTTGGGTGCTAATCAAGATATTAACCAAAAGAAAATAGTTCTGCTTGCCAAAATGTATAGTAATGATCTTTCGGTATTCATCATCATCATGGGTATTAGCCAAATCCTATAAGAATGAACCTCGGCACTGAATATGGGTATCAGCCAAAATAGAAACGTTTCTCTTTTTCACTAACTCCCCCCTCTCCCTTCCCCATACTTGAACTTTTCCTCTGACTATCACGTGACCACTTGCGGAACAGTTCCTTAATAATAACACAGTATAAAATGTATTATTATCCAATTATATTGACACATAATTGTTTTAGGAATTCAAGATTGCCTTAAAAGTAGCGCAAAGATCAACTTAGTGTTTTGCCTAAACTTAAACAAGTTATATACTATACGCTCTAGTTTTGTATCAAAATCAGAATGAGGAGAATCCCACGGAAATAAATTAATTCACATATTTTTATTTCCTAGCTGCGGCTTACATTGTTAGACGCTACAATTTCCTAAAATAAATAAAAGTGTTTTGATTTTTGTATGTTTTTTTACAAGGTAGTGTCCTAGTTAGTTAGTTGTTTATAGTGGCTTTTACTTTTCTTCTTCTGCCTTAGCATTTATACTAAACAAATCTATTTTATTTTAGACCTATACAAATAACCATTCTCCTTATCTATAAGATAATTTAAAAGTTAAAAAAAGAAATTTATTAGAAAGAATTATTGATATTTTTAAATTTTTGTAGGGAACGTTGCAGAATCTTAGTTATGCATGTTCTAGAAATGTTTCCGTATTTCTCTTTTTTTAAGGGCCTCAGGACCGATCTCCAGAAACGTCAGGTCGACCTTCTCCTTCCCCTGTGCCCATTCAAGAGAGCTCCTCCTTATCTACGGAGCAAATAGAAAACCTCCTGAAAGTCATTGAAGACTCTCGTAAAAAGGTGAGCGTTGCACACAGCATTAAATTGAGTCCTTATGGTGATCGTTGCACGCAGCATTCAGTTGAGTCTTTGTGGTGAGCGTTGCACATAGCATTTAGTTGAGTTATTATGGTGAGCGTTGCACACTGCTTTCGACTGAACTCTTTTGGTGAGAGTTTCACACAGCATTCAGTTGATCCTTATTTTAAAGTAAAAGTTGTCATTAAAAAGAACTAACGAAAATCTTACCAAACTGATATTACAATAGAAACATTCTGTTTTTAAGACTAGAGCAAGTTATCAAGCTGATTCGTTGAAAAATCAGTTGTCTCTCAGCAAGAAGAGAATCAGCTTTATATGGTTATCAGTCAGAATTCTGTTTGCCCTCCCCCAGTGGCACAGCGGTATGTCTGCGGAGTTACAACGCTAAAATCCGGGTTTCGATACCCGCGTTGGGCAGAGCTCAGATAGCCCATTGTGTAGCTTTGGGCTTAATTACAGACAAACAAACAGAATTATGTTTAATCATAAAAATGGCGTCGTATCTCGTGAAATATTTATCTTATAATATCAATGCTTAATATGAACAAGTCTAATCTGTGTGTAGTCAGTGAAGCTTGGTACTGGTTATTATGTAGTAAATGTTTCGGTTTTGTTGCTATAACGTAATGTATATTTGCTGTGATTACTTAATCCTTAAACTACCAATTTGTTTACATATTGCATCACATTGAATCATTTTTATGTTTATTCCTGGCACAATACACAGTGTAAAGTAGCGATTAAAAAAGAAATTGGGCATGATTAAATATTTTCAATTTAGAATAAATAGAAAACTGCATAGTAGTAATTGATGGGATTAATTGCAATGTTGACAGTATTTTGTTTACGTTTTTTGTTTGGGGATTCGTATGTTGTTAGGGATCCTGTAACCAACAAAGTCACGAATCCACAAACAATTTCAGAATAGTGTGTCAAAGAATCCAATGGGGTCCATACCCCCATCATTAATTCTAGGGTTAAAACATATATATGTATATGTTCAGATTAATATATTCCTATACATTAACATGTGAATGTGTTACAAGGAATAACCAGGATGTTATGGTATGTAAGTAGACGGTGATTTGACGTTTGTTGCTCGAAAAGACATACAGCAGATGGTGTTCATTTACTCGGAGAAAAGTTGCTACCCTAGTGGTACATTTAATTTATTAAACTAGAAATAATCGATATTTGAATTATCATTAACTTCTGATCAAAGCAAACTACCTACATAGATCAGAAATAAAAAATTACCCTGGTAAATAATGTAGCAGGCCCGGCATGGCCAGGTGGTTAGGACGCTCGAACTCGCAATCTGTGGGTTCGAATCCCCGTCACACCAAACATGCTCACCCTTTCAGCCGTGGGGGTGTTATAATGTGACGGTCAATCCCACTATTCGTTGGTAAAAGAGTAGCCTAAGAGTTGGCGGTGGGTGGTGATGACTAGCTGCCTTCCCTCTAGTCTTACACTGCTAAATTTGGGACGGCTAGCGCCAATAGCCCTCGTGTAGTTTTGCGTGAAATTAGAAAAATAATAATAATGTTGCTAATTTAATAAACCTGTAATTAGAAGTATTGTTTGTTTGTTTGTTTTTGAATTCCGCGCAAAGCTACACGAGGGCTGTCTGCGCTAGCCATCCCTAATTTAGCAGTGCAAGACTAGAGGTAAGGCTGCTAGGCATCACCACCCACCGCCAACTCTTGGGCTACTCTTTTACCAACGAATAGTGGGATCGACCGTCACATTATAACGCCCCCATGGCTGAAAGGGCGAGCATGTTTGGTGTGACGGGGATTCGAACCCCCCAGATTGCGAGTTCGAGCGTCCTAACCACCTCGCCATGCCGGGCTAATTAGAAGTATGTTAATAATTAGAATGAAATGTTAATTCATCAGTTGAATGCTCTCGCCATTGTCGATTTTTTCGGCCGTAATCCCAACAATATCTGGCGAGTTGCGGAAAGCATAGATGATTTAGGTTAGTTATAAATCCATATACTAAGCTAATTATAAAGATATAATAAATAAATAAAAATAAGTATTTATATATTCAACATTTTAACCAATACTGCTAATTGAGGTAGCTTCAAAGAAATAATGGAATATTATTTACAAGACACATAAAAACTAGTTGTTTGCTTCACACACTGTCTCTTATTCTCTACCTATAGTGAAGCCAGACACCAGTACACGCAGAACTTTATGTAATCTTTCCAAATAACGTCTACTGATCAATAAAAACTCATTAATTAAACGGCTACGACAGCTTAATTCAAGATCACCTGACACTTGTGCTTTAGCACGATTTCTAACTTACGACGACAGTGTTTAGTGTTGCCGGAACAAGTCGGCTTTACGTTGTAACTTGATGTTTAAACGAAACGGGTTTTTTTTTTCGTACTTACGGGTTAGTGGTCAAATACAGTAGACAGAACTTTTACACTACTAAACGTTTAAAAATTCAAAATTTTCATGTTTAATATTTTGTTATTTTGACAAACATTTAATTATTTTCTTACTTGGGTTTTCTTTGCGATAGGAAAATCGTCTAACGCAAAGCATATAAAATCTCCTAATCACTCAAACTGTAATAAAGTGATTTTGACGAATGTGTTAAAAAATTCTCTGTTTCGTTAACATGTGAATTTTGTTACTGGGAAAATGATTGAAACTATTGTCTTTGTGATCTACATAACACAGATAAGCAGGTCATTTTATTTTACCGATAAACAAGAGATATAATATTAAATAACACAAAATAAGAATCATGAGGACACTATAAGAAGCTTTTCTTTGAATAACAATAGCCCGCCCTTCCACCCCAAGCTACTGAACAGGTCACGGAGTACGGTAGATCATCTCTGGAGAGACGGCGTTCAAGCCTAGAGGGCAGCACTGGTAGTAGTAGTTCTTCCAACCAACCACTCGGACACAGTCGACAGATGCCTGATGCGGAAAAACTTCGCAAAGTTATTATGGAATTAATTGAAACAGAAAGGACCTATGTGAGGGTGAGTGTAAGAGATACTCTGTTGTTATACCGAAAGGTTACTAGTCACAATGCATTGATAAGTTTCAACTATAATTTCTGTTTATAACAATATACGTTTGTTTCCAATGGATTCCAAGAAGGCGAACAGTGAAAGTGAAAATCAAGGTGAAAAAGTAAATATCAGATTTGCAATTTGTCAGATTGAATTATTTCTCATGTATTAGGATGGAATCTTATATCTATAAACGAATAATCAAACTTATAAGTACTTTTAAACCTACATTGTTGTTATATTTTGTTTATTTTGAAAATCCAGGATATTATAAAAACAGTATTTTTTGTTACAGAATTTCACCCAAAGCTACTCAAGGACTATCTGCGCACATCTGTTCTTAATTTTCAATTGATAGAGAGAAAGCTACATCACCAACCGCCAACTCTAGGGCCATTCTTGTCTGACTGAACAATGGAATTTGACTGTCACTCATAAAGAGCATATGCGGTCCTAAAGTGCATCGGAATGCTAACCATGAATACTTGGATTCATGATCTGGGCATAGTAACCACTACGCCGCGCCCGGCCCAAACAAAGTGTGCTTATTTGAGTTTATTGGGATCGACGACGTTAGCAGATACATTAACACATAAAATTTTAGCGTGAATACCACACGACGACTTTCTGACTTAAGAATATCCTGTTCTGCCGTGCATGTATCATAATACTTACCTAGAACATTAAGCTTAAGCTGTCTGTAAAAACAGATCACAAGAAATGTTAGCTTAGGCGGCAAAGTGTAATATGACAAAAACAGATCACAAGAAATGTTAGCTTAGGCGGCAAAGTGTAATATGACAAAATCAGATCACAAAAAATGTGAGCTTAGGCGGCAAAGTGTAGTATGACAAAAACAGATCACAATAGAAATGTGAGCTTAGGCGGCAAAGTTTAGTATGACAAAAACAGATCACAATAGAAATGTGAGCTTAGGCGGCAAAGTGTAGTATGACAAAAACAGATCACAAGAAATGTGAGCTTAGGCGGCAAAGTGTAGTATGACAAAAACATATCACAAGAAATGTGAGCTTAGGCGGCAAGGTGTATATGACAAAAACAGATCACAAGAAATGTGAGCTTAGGCGGCAAGGTGTAATATGACAAAAACAGATCACAAGAAATGTGAGCTAAGGCGGCAAAGTGTAATATGACAAAAACAGATCACAAGAAATGTGAGCTTAGGCGGCAAGGTGTAATATGACAAAAACAGATCACAAGAAATGTGAGCTTAGGCGGCAAAGTGTAATATGACACGCCAACGGGCCGTATTGGTTTGTATAACAGCACTTGCCACCAAAATGAACCAGTTGTATCCAATATTAGTAAACATTCCCTTTTCTGCCATGTGAAAAGAGGTGTAACTGTAGTACGTGAATCCTCCTCCCGATCAACATGGGCGCAGATTATATATCAGTTTATTGTACAAAATATTATCATTCTTCCACAGCTTGAAACACGCGTTTACTGCAAAAAATATAAAATAAGTGTACTTTCTTAGTTAGTCTCTTTTCAACATGAATCGAGGGTGACCTGTCGAGCTGTGAATCAGGAGGTCCAAAGTTCGAGCCTCATGCTTCAAATATTCAAATTGAGGGCGTTATAACTCTGGCAGTTAATACAACTATTTGGTTAAGAATAGCCACATAGGCGGTGGCGACTACTACTGGTTAGTTCTTCTCCTCCTGGTCAGAAACTCTAGATTAAAATTGAGATATCTAGTCCGGAAGTTTAGTCTATGTGTCGCATAAGCTGCGTCATTCGGGTCAAAAAACTCCAACTACAAATTATTTTTCATCATTTTGATTGCTATCAATTATATCGTTTTTGTGAATACATGAAACATTACATTTGTGCATTTTTTTCACCTACTAATTACTCACTGAGAAATTAGAGTAAGTAAAATGTTATAGTTCTAATTACACTTGAGGACAATAATTTGGTCTCATTCATTTTTATTTATTTTACCTTCTGTAGTGACATCTGCTACATCACTTCAACACAAAAAAAACATCTTGATTTTAGCATGTAAATGTATTCTATGTTTCTCATACTTTTTGACACATACAAGTCTCATTGATTTCAATCTACAGGCATCTTGGCTCCACCACACTGACATATTTTTATTTAACTACACAAACATTTTTTATAAATTTCGACATACAGATATCTCTTTTGATTTGAACTATTTGACACTTCCTTGATCTCAACACTCAAATATTTCCTTGATCTCAACACTCAAACACTTCCTTGATCTGAACACTCAAACATTTCCTTGATCTCAACACTCAAACACTTCATTGATCTCAACACTCAAACACTTCCTTGATCTCAACACTCAAACACTTCCTTGATTTCAACACCCAAACACTTCCTTGATCTCAACACTCAAACACTTCCTTGATCTCAACACTCAAACATTTCCTTGATCTCAACACTCAAACACTTCCTTGATCTCAACACTCAAACACTTCCTTGATCTCAACACTCAAACACCTCCTTGATCTCAACACTCAAACACTTCCTTGATCTCAACACTCAAACACCTCTTTGATCTCAACACTCAAACACTTCCTTGATCTCAACACTCAAACATTTCCTTGATCTCAACACTCAAACACTTCCTTGATCTCAACACTCAAACATTTCCTTGATCTCAACACTCAAACACTTTCTTGATCTCAACACTCAAACACTTCCTTGATTTCAACAATTTCCTTCATTTCACCACACAGACATCTTCTTGATTTCAACTCCTAGACATTTACACGATTTTAACACTCGGACATTCCCTTAGTGCTGCTTTACCAGTGCCTCAACACTGCTAAAAACTGGGTTTTGATACCCGTGGTGAGTACAGCACAGATTTTTAAAAACTCTTCTTCAACCCCCCCCCCTCCAGTGGCTTAGCGATAAGTCAGAAGGCTTATAATGCTAAAAAATTGGGTTTTGATACCCGTGGTGGGCATTGCACAAATAGTTCATTATGTAGCTTTGCGCTTAACAACAAACAAACAAGCAAAAATCTCCTTGATTTCAACACCCAGTCAACTTTCTTTTATTTCAAATTCCAGACATTTTGATTTGGCGGCTAAGACATTTCTTTGATTTCAACATAAAAATATTTTGTTTTGTTCACACAGTCATTGATTTAAATACTCAGACATCCCCTTAATTGTCCCTCTGTAGGACAGCGGTAAGTCTACGATTTTACAGCGCAAAATTAGGGGTTCGATTCCCTGTGGCGGACACAGCAGTTAGCCCAATGTGGCTCTGCTCTAAAAAAAAAAAAACACAACACATACAATCTCCTTAATTTGGCCACTAAGACCTTTCCTTGATTTCAACAATCAGATAGCTATCTTATTTCAACACAAATACATCTCGATTTCTTCACACAGATATGTCCTTAATTTAAATACTCAGATGTCTTCTTGATCTGTGATGCTACATTTCAATATAAATACGTTATCTTAATTTCTAGTGCTTTGTTTAAAAGAAAAGACAACTACTTAATATATTCTTGACATGATAAATAGGTATGTTAAACAGAAAAGAAACTAACTTCAATGCCATCCATTGGATATCATGTCCGTTAGCTGCAGAAACATAATTAACCAATTAATTTGAAGTATTTGAATTCAAAACTTTTCTATTGGATATTGGTTCTAGTTTTACATCTTTGTATTTTTAATCACACAGAAGTTAAATTATAAAAAAAATCCTTTAAAGTGTGAGTGAATAGTTTGATAGTGTGCTTTGTGTTTTTATATAAAAGGCAGACACAGCCATTTGGTGAGTTTGGGACAATAAATAGGTCTCCATTCTGTTGAATAGACTAAAAAAATACCATATTTTCTACGCGGTAATTGGCTAACCTAAATTCAAACAAATATCACTGAAATAGGTATATGGACTATTTCAAACTTCTGTCAACTTGGATCAGAACAAAACCACATATCGTGAAATTTACAACAGATCTGAATAAAATAATAAAATCATAATCTGACTGGCCACTTTATTAGGACCTCCAAAACATTTTTGTACAACACGTCATTTATTTGTAAAACACACTAATCGTGGGATATCTTGGGTGATTTTCTTGAGTACTATTACTGCAAAAATACGGTCATATTGTAATTAATATGAAAGAGAATTGGTAAGAATAACGATCTTTTCAACTTTCAAAGAAACATAGTAGTGAGCGTCTGAGTAACATGATTGTCTTTATCATACCTTGTTTTGCCCTTCGTGTTCTAAAGGCCCCCAGTGGCACAGCGGTATGTCTGCGGACTTACAACGCTAGAATCCAGGTTTCGATACCCGTGGTGGGCAGAGCACAGATAGTCCATTGTGTAGCTTTGTGCTTAATTACAAATAAACAAACCAAAAATCTATAAAGATAGGCTTAAATTTAATTTTTTTTCTTTTAAATTCATTATAGACTTACTATGCTTAAGTTTTAATATTTTATTGAGTGTTATAGTTGTCCAAAAAAAAATACATATTCCAAAAACCTTTAAACATTAAACTTTAAATGTTAACTAAACTCATACAACTTTTTTTCTTCGCGTATCGCACATATCAAAGCTGGATTGTCTTAGTTAATAGCTGTGGATAAGGTCGTCCGTGATTTTTGTTATATTTTTATGTTCTAAAGCGATCTAAAGTTTTACGAAATATTTTACTAATCGTACATTTTTCTTAGATACAGATGTTGTTAAACGTAGTTTTTATAGTGTTAAGATGTAAATTTCTAGGTTGAGCACGGTGCATAATAGAGAGTTTTCATAAACAAATACACATCAGAGTTTAATTCAAACGGATTTTAAAAAATGCGAAAGAACTAAACCAAAATGTACAGTACTCTGTCCCTTTTATTTCAATGTTTTGTCCCTGTGAGATGTCAATTATAGTCAACATAACCTGGATCAACACAATTAATTTCTATAATATTCTGTATGATTTATTTGTATTAAAAAATACAAGCTATTTAATATATTCCGAAGAACATTCTGTTTCAAAGTACAGAGTATCTTAGTTTAGTAATATGATTGGATTTGAATTTCTTTAATAAACCACTTATTGTGATATATTTGATTCCTGGTCACTAATTAGTTCTGAAATTCCTTGTGTCTCAAAGTCACTCGTTTGAAAAATAAAATACAGTTTTGTCGCTATGGAGGGTATGTCAGGCCAGTAAGTAGCCCAGTATCCAGTGTCCATTTACACGTAACTTTGACCCTGGCGAGTTTCTTCGGTAGTGCACCCCGAGGTCGTTAAATTTATTGATAAATTACATTTCTTTTCAGGTGTACTTTTTTTCTACCAACGTCGTGCAATATTTTTGTTTATTTTGGCAAACATATATTAGTCTGATAAGCAGCTTCATTGAGCATTGCCTTAGTAGACTGCTTGCCTTACGTTCCTGATTTAGCTGGTAAAATATTAAGCAATTGTGTGATAAATATAAAACAAAAATATAAATAACTGTATATATTCCAAGTGGTTTCGTTAATTTGCGAAATAAAGTCTCAGTAAAAACTGTCTTGCTTTCCCTATATTTGTATACCAGATTCTGTGTTAGACGTTACTGAAAAAATGAACAATTGTAATAATTGTGTTTGAATTGATTTTATTAACAACCAGTGATTAAAACTGTTTGTTTATTCATCTCCTTTGTGTGTTGGTGCAGCACATGAGCGACCTGGTAGCATGGTATGCGGATACCTTACAAAAGGTAATCTTAAATTTGTTTAACATTTCCATCCTAACCCTTCTTGAGCTTCTGGCTGCGTGACCTATTTTTTATCATAATTATAAAATGTTTCTGAAATTTTCAACCAGAGTTGTTTTATTTTGCCAGATAATGCACGAGCATGTTTGTAATTATGTCAGCTTCCGTAGTAACTATATGGCAAAGGCTTCCTCATTTAGCTTTCAATGTTATGCACTTGTAAAGCCTTTTTCACGTGTATCATATTGTCTTTCACCCGTAAATGTGTGTAAGCCTTTTGCAGAAATCTTAGCATATGTGTTTTGACATATTTATTTATTTGCTATATATATTATTAACGTTAACAAACGCTGTCAGGATTACGATTATTATTACTGTGTTTCAGTATGCTATCATTACTGTAAGTTTTATTTAACTTGTTTGAACAGGTCAAAACGCTTATTTGTTTAAGATGTTATATTTCCAGTGTTGTAAAACAACAAGTTTGTCAAGTCAATATTGAAATATACTACTCATAATTCACTAAACTTAGACTATAATGATTGAGCGGAAGTCAACACTTGTTCTCTAACACTAATAGAAATGCTTCCTGTTTGTTTGCCTAATCACTTTTTTTAAACGAGCAGTAATGCTACGATTAAATCTAGAATCAATGTCTATCGTCAGTAACCAGTGTTACCGTTTATAATTTATTCTATGCATAGAACAGGTATATATTTGTCAGATATATATGTCATGATTAAACTTTTATACGAGTCAGTATTTAAAAATCGTTTAACACAAAAACATATTATATGAATTATAGAGTTTGAGTACGTTATATTGAAATTATTTTGAAATCTCACCAAATCGTTGTAGTCTATGTCGCCAAGATCAGTCATGCTCTATCTGAAGATCCTGTATCTTGAAAATAGCCCTGCGGCATAGGTTCCATTGAAAAAGATTCAGGCGTAAGGTTATCACGTCCAAAGCCTTCTACTCCTCCTTGTCACTTTCCATAATCCATCTTGTGTATGAGAATTATGGATTTTCAGTGCCCGTTTCAACAGTTCGATTACATATAAATCCATAGAGGTGTGTCCTGCAAGTCTTTTTATGAAATAGCATAAATACCCGTTTCATTCTCCAGCTGCTTGAGGTATGTGATAGTTTAACAGATATTTCGTGGAAGCAGCTTGTGTTCACGTGACTTATGTCACTTTTGCGAACGGAGATCCTTCTGGATTATGTTGCATACTGTTGCCTGGGGGCATATGGACGGCTTTTTCCACTGATCTTTGTATTCGTAGCTTCGTAAAGTTACAAGACGCTGTAACTTTACTTACAATGGCTGAGGTATGACTTATTGTTGGTCTCTTTCTAGATGCATATTCCTTTGAATGCCATTAACTACAAGGGGTATCCCGTTTTAGAAATTCTCAATCCCCCATCTGAACACATTTGTATAATTTGAGTACATGAATGTTTTGCGTCAGAAAGGCCTATTACATACCCTTCCTAAGCAATGTCAAAATGTAATTCTGATACATTCTGTCCCACCGTGATTTTATATCTGTCTTGGTTGTCATGCGACTTGCTGATTTACATATTTAAAATCATTTTACTGTAACATACTCAACCCTGTATTAAAATACATAACTATTATTTCTCATAAATTCATATTTGAGAGCTTTATATCCCTTTGCGTAATACGTTTAATATCAGTCTTTGAGTTAAAAAACTTTACTGTTAAGCGCTAATGAATTGTGTTTCAGTTTCGTACAAAAAAAAAATTTCCGAAAATGCTAGTCGTTCGAAATTGGTATTAGAAGAAAAAACTTTTTTTAGTGAAAATAGAATTTAAATATATTGATACACTGGAAATCATAGAGATTCTTTAATAAAATTAAGTTTCAAGTTGCTTATCCGTGCCCGAAGCATAAACGTAAATGTAACAAGTGATTTTAAAAATTCGCTGTAATATTGTTTACTTCATAATGTATGTACGATCCGTTGCAGAAACTATACTTCACTCTGTCAACACGTTTAAAAATCCAAGAAAAAACTATTTATTATTTGGCACTTTATATTCTGAATGTGGCCACCAAAAACTCAAGTTTGTAATCAGTTTATTTGACGTAATTAATTTTTTTATTAATTCAGATTAGCATTGTATTACAATTTCATGAGAACATTGTGTCGTATTCCATACCGAGTTTTTGTACATATATTTGTAGTTCGTAGGTTTGTTTAGTAACATTGGAAATAGTTCCTATTGTTTGTTTTGTGTTTTTCTTTTTCTTTATTTTAGCTTCCTCATTTTTTGATAAAAATTGTAAAAATAATGAGTAATCGTAAGAAACCAAACACGATTAGTTCAAACAAATAGCACTTGTTGATTAAACCCGTTCTTTAAAATATGAAGTTTTAACCATAACGTACTAACATTGGGAGGGGGGAGCATTCATACGTCTTTAAGGGTAAAATTTAATGTGCCTTTCAGTAAGTCACTTTCTGTGGCTTAAATATACACGTGGCATGTGTAGTAAGTAATATATTTGTAATTGGTTTTGTATTGAAAATTTTACGTTTTATTAAACCTAACAATTAGATTATTTTACTCATTGTAGATTAAATGGGATAGGCTTAAAGATCAAACTATAATTTTGGTGTTAAATTTACTAAAGTGCTATTAAATGCTCAATGCACTTACAAAATTTCAATTTCAATTATGGATTATAAAAATTAGGCTTTTATTAAAACGTTTTTGAACAACTATGTTTTACGTAATTTACAGTGACTGTACATTTCAGTAAATGTTTGAAAAGCTCTGGTTTTAGGATATTTTCTGTTTTAGCACTTAAATAGTCTACTAGAACACTACCTCGAGCCCATGAAGAAAGAGTCGTTCATCTCGAATACCGAGATCACAGCACTCTTTGGTAACATCCAGGAAATCGTCCAGTTCCAACGGACGTTTTTACAGAGTCTGGAGGAAGCAATCTCTGCAGAACCCGACTTTAATACATTTGAAAATTCTAGTCAATTCAAAGTAAGATCCGATGTTGAGAAACGTGTGGAATTATTGTTAATATTTCATGTTTACCATGTAGAAATAATTTTAATATGTTTTAATCAGTACATAAGTTTGTTCGTGATTTTTAACAAGTTCAACAATATTTAATGTGATGTGTTTAAGGTGTAAAATCATAGTTATTGTACCACATACAGAACTATGTTTAGTGGGCTGTTTTCAATAGTTAAAACATGGTTAGTGTGTTTTGTATATTTTGTGGAATCATTGTTACTGTGTTTTTCATTATTACTGTAATATAACATTTTCGTGAAATTTGCTTATAAAAGTAAAAATTATCTCAAAAAATTTACTTATTGCAGTAAATTTTTGTAAACAGTGACTAACCTTTATATTCATTTTTAACAGAATGTACTTTTTGCCATCGGCAATTCCTTTCTGCTTTATGCTGACCAGTTTAAGTTGTACAGTTCCTTCTGCGCCAGTCATTCGAAAGCTCAAAAGGTTCTTCATCCGGGTGAGAATAGTTATGACTTCTTGGTTGACGTAGTTTTAATGGAATTAAGCCTCGTAGTTAGTTACCAGACTGTACGATATAGTGTGATTGGTTGTTTTTCTTTAGTTTTTCCACCCTCTGGTTGATCTTACCAAACAGAAAAATTATAAATATATGTATTTTCCGTGTAAATCTATTACTCTCTGTGATGAGCGCTAAAATTTGGGTTACAATACCCGTGGTAGGCAGAGCACAAGTAACTCATTGTGTTACGAACAAACAAACCAAACTTTAATGATCATTTGTGAAATCTCCATAATTTCAATAAAACAAATTGTTACATACTTCATTTTTTATATATTTTTGAAACTATGAACTGCTGTTTCTTTTATTTCGCTAAAATGCAAATAAATTAATTACCCCCCCCCCCCCAAAAAAAAATATTTCAACCACTTTACTTTGAGTTAAACTTATGTTACTCTCTGTTGATTTCACAAAATTTAAAGCTTGTTAATACTTTTTGAATTGTATAACTCATTCGTAATGAAAATTTATGGCGACTGTTTTCTAATAAATATATTAAGGGTTAATCGAGCTGTATAGATGAACTAGCGTGTCATCGCATGTGGGGGCCGCGGAACCATGGCGACATGTTTAGCGCCTACAAATTTGTTTCTTGACACTTTCCCGACCACTTAGCATTAAAGTGGCGCCACCAATAGATTTATGCCATACCTTTTTTTACGAGGAAAGATATTGTGGTATCAAACAATAGCCAACAAAGTGAGTACGATTGAAAATGGAAGAAGTAGTTCTAAGAGCGGCACAGGTCATGTAGCTTTATTCTTATAAGGTACGGTTGAAAATGGAAGAAGTAGTTCTAAAAGTGGCACAGGTCATGTAACTTTGTTCTTATAAGGTATGGTACTTCCACCCCAGATATCTAAATAACATTAATAACAGTTATATGTATGCGTGTATGTATCTTAAAGATTGTTTTTACACAGGAGAAGGAAACAGTGCATTGATGCAGTTCCTTCAGTCACGTAATCCAAAAGGACAACATAGCTTCTCGCTGGAATCGTATCTCATTAAGCCTATTCAGCGGATTTTGAAATATCCTCTGCTTCTACAACAACTCAAACATCTGACAGATTCATCCTCAGAAGAACATCGGCACCTGACTGGTGAGGATTCAGAGGGGAAATTCGTGAAAAATACTGCAGTTATATTATTTATTTAAGCAGATCGACTTTAACGATCACTTACTAAACTGATATTTTTACGATAATGTAACATCTATCCTGCCAAGTGTAGTATTGAGTATTTAGCGTCTTCACTAAGATGTATAGTCTCTCGGAGAATAAGTTAGAGATCAATGTAATAGATTCATCGATCAGATGGCTAGATAGGAATAAATAGTGTTATATTTGTCCTTAAGAAAGTGTTAGGTAAATAAACGGGTGATAACTATATTGATTTCAACCTTGAAAGAGACTGTTCGACGGAAATATTAGATGTGCAGGTTGCAACCTGGAGAAAAACGATTAGGTAATCTAACAAACTTTAACAGCTCCATTGTATTTCTTCAGAGGCTCTGAAAGGAATGGAACGAGTTGCGGAACACATCAACGAAATGCAGAGAATACACGAAGAGTATGGAGTTATATTTGATCATCTCTATCGCCAACACCTCCGCTCTTCGAAACAGGTAAAAGTGTTATGTATACTTTTAGTATTTTAATTTGTACTACTACATCTTTTAAGCGTAAACTTTTGAACTCTTTTTTTTTTTTACATTTTTCCGTGATGTTCTTTCTATAAGATAAATATACTTAGTAATCGTTGGAAGTTGTGATGGTACCCTTAAGTACTCACTGGTCCTAACTGTGCAAGTCTGTTAAGTAAAGATCTCTAAATATGGACCTTGTTATTGTAAACGATAAATTATGATGATATGTGTCTTCAAACTAATAAGAAGCTTTTAATGATTAATATAATAATATTCCAGGAAGTAATACAGAAACGTGCATCATTATAGATTAAATATTTTTAATTATGAAATGTGAAAAGTATCTAACGAGAACTTGGTATTGAGATTATTTCAGCATCAATATTCGTATACATCTCCATGTGAAATAACTTTTGATTTGTGGCCCAGAACGTTGACCTCAGCCCTGGAGAACTGTTGTACTACGGTGGCGTTGAATGGCTGAATATATCCGAATTTCTAGGCAAGATAAAAAAAGGATTGGAATTACACGCAATGTGTTTCGTCTTTAAAACAGCTGTTGTATTTCTGTGCAAGGAGAGGATCAGGCAGAAAAAGAAGCTGATGGTAGGATGTTTCGAAGCCTATTTCCACTTTTCTTTTAATTTTTGTCAAGAATGTACCCATATAAAAAAATTAGTTTTTATTTCATGCTATAATGACCCATTTCTAAGTTGACCGGGCTTTACCTAGTAGTTAGCTTGCCCAGACTGTGAATCCGGTGATTCAGGGTTTACGGCCCGTTAAATCTCACTGTTTGGTGATAGATATGCTTTTAATTAGCTGCCTTTCCTCTAATCCATCTGTTCAAAACTAGGGACAGATAGCCCTTTTTTGTTGAAAAATTGTAAAGCAAAAAAAAAAACTAATTTTTTAATCACTATGTGAGGTCCGCTATTGGAAGTTTTATTCGTAACTTATGATGTTTTTAGTTGTTTTTTACTCACTACATGAACTTATATTTATATAGAATTTGATGAATACGTGTAATTTGTGCTACTAACTTCAGAATTATTCACTGGACAAGCCTAGTATTATTCTTTCGATTTTCCCTTGACCAGGTTCACTGATGAGGGATGGAATTCTCCGAAACCGTTGTAACTCGGTGATAAGTGTTGAATCGAATAACAGATTGGTTTCACGTTTATTTTCGTTTCTTAAACATCTTTTCTGTGGAATAATTAAAAAGAATAAGTTAGTATCAGCAATGGTACATATTATTCAAGGAGTTCATGGAACAAGGGATTTTGTTTTAATATCTGATTAACAGTTTACATTTACATCTGCATAGCTTAATATTTACCATTAATTACTTTTTAAACTTATTCAATTCATTAATATTTTTTAAAATTACGGATAAGCAAGTA